TCTGGCCAACCTGGCTAGTGCAATGAAACCTAGAGAGGCAAGGACGCTAATGGTTGACTACCTGTCAGGTCCAAGCATAGAACTACTGAACACAGAGCATGAAACAGTGTGCGTGGAGATGGGACCAAGTTAGATGGATGCGATAATAGTATTCTTTAGAGATGGGAAACTGCCAGATGATCACAAGGAGGCGCACAAGGTCAGACTGAAGTCGGCAAGGTTCAGTATAACAGTAGAGGGACATCTCTATAGAAGATCTTTTACTGGACCCCTTTTGAGGTATGTGCATCCTTCACAAGTTGAAGACTTTCTGTATGAAATACACGAAGGAGTATGTGGAAGCCACGCTGGGGGCAGGTCACTTACTCATAAGGCCATTACTCAGGGGTACTGGTGGCCCTACATGCAGAAAGATGCTGAAGCTTATGTCAAGAAGTGTGAGAAGTGCTAGAGGTTTGCACCTTTGATACATCAACCAGTAGCAGACTTGAACCCAGTATCTAGCCCTTGGCTATTTGCCCAATGGGGCATGGATCTTGTTAGATAACTGCCTCAAGTAACTAGACAAAGGAAGTTCCTGCTAGTGGCAATAGATTACTTCACCAAGTGGGTTGAAGCTGAACCCCTTGCAAAGATTCGGGACATTGATGTAAAGAACTTCATGTGGAAGAGCATCATCACCGGGTTTGGGATCCCAAAAGCAATAATAGCAGACAATGGTACGCAGTTTGATAGTAAGCTAATCAACAGCTTCTGTGCAAAGTACAAGATCAAGAATTATTACTCTACTCCAAGCTTTCCTCAGAGTAATGGTCAAGTAGAAACATCCAACAAGGTTATCTTGGATGGGATCAAGAAGAGGCTGGAAACAGCAAAGGGAAAGTGGGTAAATGAGTTACCCAGTGTACTCTGGGCATATCAGACGACGCCGAGAAGATCAACTGGGGAGTCCCCATTCGCCATGGCTTATGGCACAGAAGTAGTTATTCCATTAGAGGTCGGCATCCTAGGGATCAGAACCCAGGGAGTAGAGAATGGGACCAATGAGGCACTCTTGGCCGAGATCTGGACCTATTGGAAGAAAGAAGGGAGAAAGCAGCAATTCAGCTGGGGGCATACTAGCAGCAGCTTGCTAGGGCTTACAACAAGAAAGTCAACCCACAAGAGTTTCAAGTTGGGGATCTCGTCCTAAGAAAGGTCGTCGGCAACAAGAAAGACCCTAGAGAGGGCAAGCTTGGCCCAAACTGGGAGGGACCTTATAGAATTATCTCGGTCTTGGGCAATGGAGCGTATCGGCTTGAAGACAGTGATGGCAAAGAGTTACCAAGACCCTGGAATACTTGTAACCTGAAGTTTTTCTATCATTAGATTTCTTTTTTGTTTTTTAAAGTTTTTTGTTATTAGTCAAAGTAATAATAAAATTTTAGTTCGATTTTCGATTACAAACTTGTGTAAAACGATTTGGCGATGTTTTTGATTGAAACATGACGAATAACGTAGACTTATTAAATGGCAGAGTTGAATTATACTTGCATATAATAGAGTTGAACTAAGTTGGCGATGTTTCTAATTGAAACATGATGAATAACTTAGACTTATTGTAATGACCCCAAAATGCGTGTAAGAAATCATCTTTATTTACCTATGAGAGGATGTGTTTTAATTTAATTATATCTATTAGAATTGACGCATTATCTGTTGAGTTACGGACTTCAAATTGAAATTACCGACCTTTATGGGTTCAGAAATCAAAATTGAGTACTTGGGTATGTTAATGA